AGAACGTCAGATATACATACTCCCAATACGAGGAGAACGCCGTGATTAATTCTCCGGCGAGAGTACTTTTCTCTGAAAAACGGCTGCGTTCCATCTCCCAGCTCTGGAAACTGTTAGTTCTCTTTCGCATTGCTCGATTCGTATGTGTATCGGTTTGCGTAAAACCAATAAAACGTTTTTCCGTATACACGGTGTCTAGCTTTCAAACAATTTCTTTCGTATGTGTGTGATATTTTTACTTACTTAGAAATTTATTTTAATTTTTAACACAAACGTCATCATTTTTTAACCATTGAGTTATCAAAAATCTGAATTATTTAATTTCATAAATTAATTTTTAGTGTTCGAAACACACTGATTGTAAGATACACATCACTCTTTATTTTTAAGTATTAATACAATTTTCTTTTATATTGAAATTGATATTTGCAACTTGATATGGAAAGTTGCGAAACAGAGTAGCGTGCAAGCTATGAAAATTTTCTGGAATTTGATTAAGAAATTCGCAAGTAAAGATTTGGCAATTTTGAGACACCATGTATAAAAGTACCGATGAGCCTGCTCGCACTTTTTGTCCTAATCGTAACATTATCTACGGACCATAGCGCACTTTTTGCAGATCACATTTCGTATCTCCGCCGTTCGGTGAGAAATTCGTACACTTTCGGGCAATTTCCTCGCTACTATAAATCAACGTCGACGTCGTCGAGTTTATCGCGTGTACGTTGAGCGTTGTCGATGTCGAACATTCTTCGCACCTTTTTCGCCATGGTTTCATTATATCGAAAAATATAAATCAATAAGATTTACAGGCGAAGTCGCTGCATGTTACATCGAGCGACACGTCATTGATCCCCCCAATATTTCGAGATTGACGTTACAGTCAAGCTTGTCTCGATGTCAGCGAAATCTCGGAAAGCTTTCCAAACTACGTCAAATTTTTCATGAAAATATAGTGAGTCGCGGAGCAGAATCACATTGCGCATTAATAATATATTGTCATGAAGCTTTAAAATTGAATGAAATAAAACAATGATATAGAAGCATATATTATGAAGAAAAGCAAAACTGAGTTAGCATACATAAATAAGTCTGTCAATCAGGATTTTTTAAACTTCCTATTGTCCTAGTTATTTAATGCATCAAAATTCAAAATTTGATAAATCCAAAATTTGATAAATATTCATAATTTGATAAGTATTTACAATAAAAGCTACAATTCCAACTGAAAATAGTCACTAGAATTTGTTTTGCGGTAATATAAACACGCTTGTATAAGATTTTATTAAGCTTTTATAAGAATTATTGTATTTTTAAAATATTACACCCGTTTTGTGAACAATAGATCTATATTATTATTCTCAGCGCTTCAAATGAATGTTAAGAGGATTAAAATCATTCGCGGAAAGGTGTTTGTTTCGTGGTTCTTTATCTCGATTCACTCTCGCGACGGCATTTCAGCTTCGATGAGCAAGCAAGGTAACTTTTCAAACAGAAAGAAACAAAGAGCTACTTCATCGGTTGGGTGAACGCTGTGAACGTGTAATGCTTGGCCGAAACTATTGTACTGATCGCATTTTTTTTTCCGAGAGATGGGAAACGATGTTTTCTTTCCGCCCCCGAACCTGCATTAACCCCGACTACCCCTTAGAGAAGAACAGGATCGATAAGCGTGAAGCCTGCACATATGTTCTAACTAAATTTGGAGATACGTGCGCCCGATGTTACTTCTCATGCGTATACATGCAGACACCAAATTCCTGGCAACAATGGCGGCAGCGCCCCGTTGCAGCGCGGACCGTGATGTTTAAATGCAGGCGTTTTGCATCGCGGATGTTCGCATTTATAGATATCAGCCCGGTTGGTTGGTAGTCGTCGTTTCAACGAGGCTGAATATTGTAACGTAGGAAATGGAACGAAAAAGCTTGTCGCGAAAAAAGCCAGCCGTACACGCGTGTTCCGGCGGCGCAACGTTCAGAGACTCGAATAAATAGACCGTCGCACAGCTTTGTATTCGGTTGAATGTTTTCGATTTTATAACACGGCGAATAGAGTCGCGGATTTCGTTTCCGCATATACATATAAGGCTCTTGCGTGCAGAAATGGATCTCCATACATACACCCATACATACACCTATACACACGCGCGCGTGCGCGCGAGGGAAAGTCATTAATGAGGCGTGCTCACGTTTACACGCACTTGTAAGTGTGTGCGTGCTTACCAGAGGGTCGGTTTAGTACAACGCGATCGAGTATCGTACGAGGCGATGACTCAGCTCACCAACCCCTGTAAGACAGGGGACCATTATGCCAGGTACCCTTTCCAATGCTATATAGCAAAAGCAACGTCCATAAAAGCGACGTAACGCCGATTGCTGTGATATATGCTTATCGAACGTGAAGACTTAGAAATAGATCCAGTGCGATTTATTTCCATATTTCATTGATCAGCATATGTTACTTTTAATACGTCATTATATCTTTTTCTAAAATTGCATTTGATGTATAATATATATAATGTAACTTTTGTTGAAGTTACATTAACAGAATTTCAAGCAATATTGCTTCAGCTTTGTAATAAATACACCCAGAGAAAAGTTTCTTCGCTGCATGGTTAAAGAAAAAATTGATTTGTGAAAAACTTCCTTTGATCTAAACATTATTTTTTTAAATTAAATAAAATTTATTCGATTAAAAAAAATTTATTTATTTTTATTCAAAAAAATTATGTTTAAATCAAAGAAATTTTGTGTCTTTAGCCGTATAGCAAAGAAAAAAATTTCTTTAAATCGAAGCAATCTTTTTTCTGGATGTACAATTTTTCAGAAAAAGATACAATGATATATTAAGTTCTTATATTCTGGTTAAAATTTAATAATTTGCTCAATTTAAGTTTTTATGTATTTTTTAAAGCGACCTTTTTGACTCTGTAATTACACGTAATCCCTAAATTTTATTATATCCTTCTTATCTCTTTTAGAACCGTTTCCCATCTTTCATTTCCAATAGTATCTTGCTCGATGATCGCCGGATCGATCATCATGATTAGAAAATCCGTTTTGCCAGAATCCAATTTCAGTGCGAATTCGGGTGAATGGGGCATCAGAGATTAAGGGCGGTCCGTGAAAATGGATGGTGCACATGCTGCTGGGGACGGTGGGTAGGCTAATAAGAGGGAGCAAAGACGCCCTCGCCTCGCTCGGCAAGGTCTCTCGGCAAAAGGGGAAATGTGCCCCCTCGTATACATCGAGATGGGGTGACGTCGTCGTCGTAGGGGTGGAAACGCAGGACAAGATGGGTGGGATGGCCGTGTGTATGTGTGCGTAATTTCCCCGTGGACGGTGGCGTCAGGGCGCACGGTGCCGATCGGGCCGAGGGTCGTTCAACCATCAGTGTTGTCTCGTGTCTCGTGCAGCGTGTCGTAGTTTCTATTCTCTCGTGATCGTGAATGTGCCGTACTTGTGATCGTTTTAGATTAGGATATTGTCTAGGTAGAACGGCTGATCGTCACAGTCGCCAGTGAACTATCGGCAAACGCGACGGAAGTAATCTGCGCAACTGCCACCGGGCAGAGATATTCGACGTGATAAACTGGGTCTCGGAAACTAGATCAACTACGTATGCGAAATTAAGAATTAAAGGGGAAGCGCTCGGACAACTATACGCGTGGGAGTTATCGCACTACGAGTTATCGCTCTCTTGCTCTACTGAATTTCGTGATAAAAATCACTGCGTGTTTGGCTGATATCACTAAATTTTACGGTGGCGGATAGCGAGATAGATATTTGTCGTCGCATCTAAAGGAATAAAAACGTATAAAAATATCTGTGTTGTAAAAGTGTGGTTTCGTGATCGGCGTGCTTCTCTGATCAATCTTGTGGTCGGATCAATTTGTTATCGATATTATTTTGCGGAAATTTCAATTGAAGATATTACAAATCTTGTGTGACGTCGAATAGGAAAAATCTTCCGTTACTGTTGTAAGTGATATGCCGAGTGATATCGACACTGTATTCGTTGAATGCACCGCGTGGTGTTCACGCACATGCGCGCACGTGAAATTGTCTATCTGTAAGCTCCGATCAGCTGTAGACAAATGCGTATATATTAGCACACATACACGCTTGATTCCATGATATCATTAATGAAGAGACTGTCGATAATGGCTTAACTCGATTGTATCTGCGTGCTTTTTATTCCGTCTGGGCATTCATTCAGTGGGCTTCCAATCTCGTATCATCACGTTTCTAATGCATACGAGTGTATCTTTAATAGTTGTCGACTATCTCGTTATGCCGCGTTGCAAAATTCATTAATCGTTGCGTGCGCGTTATTGTGTCGGACTTTCTTCCATCGGCTTTTCCTCCTATTCTTCCATCTCCCTCGTTTTTCCATCTCTCGTTCTCGTTGAACTCGTTGAACGTTTGCTTTCTTCTTTGCCATTCGCATTAGCCATTCTCCACCCTCTTTACGGTGGTTTTATCTCGTTTCTGCATCCTTCTTTCCTACTCTCATTGTCGCCCACCCACTCACGTCTCGCTCTGTTTTTCGTTCCTACAAAGATTACGTTATCGTGTATTTTTTATCGAGCTCTTGATTAAAACCACCCTCCCGACCGCCCGTTAGCTCCTTCGTAGCTTCGTGACTGCCGCTTTTCGGCGAATAACGCCTCCGTTTCACGACAACCTTCTATTCCCTCGAAGACGAGAGTTAACGAGTACCTCCGTGACGACTAGTTTTCCCCCTTTACCCTCCCCGCTCCATTCACGTGTCAAGCACTCTCTGACTCCGTCGCCGTCGTACTTTATACGCGTGGCGAGTAAGTAATCAATGAGCGCCATCGTCGGATCTGAAGGCCACGTGATGTTCAGTGTCTGCCTTTGAAGGCAGTGGGAAAAAGGGAAAAGTGCGTAAGTGCGGGTGCGTGGAAATTTGTGAGGGGAAAGGTGAGACTTAGCGAGACTTGGCTCCGTGAAACTTCATCTCGCTTGAGCTAAGAAATGCTGATACCCGTGTCGACATCGCCGACGTCCAGCAACGGCGAAGGCGCCATCAAACTCTTTGTCGGACAAATACCACGTCATCTCGAGGAAGACGCGCTCCGTCCAATGTTCGAGGAGTTCGGCAAGATTTACGAATTCACCGTTCTCAAGGACAAGTACACGGGAATACACAAAGGTAAGGGTTACTTCCAAGAAGTAAGAAATGTAGAGAATTTGTCGCGTAAATAAGTTTGGAGATATCGCTTCTTTTTTCTAACAATTCGTAAAACGTCTATTCCAAAGGCAAGTTCGACTCTGGCGCGAGAAAATCTCGAGAAAATCGTATTGAAACGAATTTCAGGAAAGTGAGGAAAGCTCACGTCAGTGGCGTATTAAAATATCCACTCCGCTTCTTACGTTTGGTTAGAGAGGGAAACTATTAGGAAATGTCCTCGTTTCAGCGAGATGTCATTTAGCAGTAGCGCCACGTCGCACGCTAACGTTACGAAATTATTTTTACGAAGCACCGCAGTCGCCAGCCACTAAATCCAAGCGGCCGGGCGCTCATTAATTTTTCAGCCGCGCAAGGACACGTAGAACTCGTTGCGCCGAGTGAAGCGTAATTCCGGCGGTAACGATGAAGCAAGCAAGAGAAGCACGCGCGCGCGCACGAGCGAGCGAGAGCACCCTCGGCGGCTTTCGAAGCGCGACCGGGAGATTAATCAGGATTTATTCTTTTGTCCCCCGCGACGTGGTGTATGGCGTCTGGGGAGCCGCGGTCAGGGTCGTGCGGAGAAGAGCGAGAAAGATAGAGGAGAGGAGAGATAGAGATAGAGAGAGAGAGAGAGGGAGGGAAGAACCGTATAGCGGAAGGGAAGTCAGGGAAGGGCTCATGTGGGTGCGAGAGCGTGCTAAGCCGCGGCGAAACAATAAATTTCGCGGGCATTCACGTCGATCGCCGAGAGGATGAGCCGACGTCGACGATCGACGGCCTTTGTTGGCCGACCGTAAGCCACCCTCTCCTCCCTTCACCTCGATACAACACCCTACTGCGCGTCGTTTCCTCCTCGTCTCTCCTCGTCTCTCTCTCTCTCTCTCTCTCTCTGTTGTCCCCATCCCTCACGCGATGTACCATCCAGACGTCGACGGATCTGATACAATGAGACAGCGCTCGCGGACGCGTTTCGGGCTGTTTCCGCGGCGGAAACTTGTTCCGGAAACGGGGACTTTAACACCGACGTGCCAGGTTACCAGTCACAGCCTCTCTCGGGAACGAGCCATCCAACGCCATCATTCGATCCCCGGTGCTCGAATTACGACAGAAGCGTGTTACGCGATACCATCGTATATGATGCTCGAGCTGGTGAAGAGGAGGTGCAGGGGGGGGGGGGTGATGCGAGGGATATACGCGTAAAAGAGCAGGCGTCGAGAGGAAAGCTTTACCATCGTCGTGCCCAGTATTACGGGGTATGGTTGGGATTTTAGAAGGGTATTTGGAAAAATGAGACAACGCGCCCCGAGACCGGTTGGATCGTCTTCATGAATTGTACATCAGTCGGGAAAGCCGAGCGCCGAACGATTCCGCGCGGAAATTCGGTCCCGGCGGTCGCTTCGTTATTCCGGAGCCGATTTTGTAATGGAGAAGTCATGTTATTCGATACTTATCAATAATGGAGGACGCGCGCGATATGGTGGCGAAAATTTCAAACGCTAGTTGTCCACGTAGCCGTATAAAGCTTAGCTTGAAACGTGAGCGGCTGCCGCATAAAAATTCGCGGTTAGAAATTCGCCGGTTCTGGAAATAACGGACTTTTGCTGGGCTCTACGGACCGCCGACGTTACCCTTCGGCGGCCTCCGTTTATTTAATTTGCAGGAAAAATGGCCGCAATCCGCTTGCCTGACCGTGTAGCGTCGGGCCGGCGGGGAGGAGGAAGGGGAAACGTAGGTATTTTACAATAAATATCCGGCCGATAAGCTGCACACAATCCCGGCGCACCGTAGAGGGATGAGGAGGGCAAGCGCATTTTTATTTTTGTAGGCATGCGGAATTTATGGTTGACGAATGGTCGTTCGAGTTTTTGCCTGGAAATAGCTCGTTAATCTTTCGAATTATCCTCCCTTCCAACTTCGCTGCCGCCACCGCTTGGCTCGCGGCGTCCACGACTCAACGACTTTCCGTTGTTCAACGGTGGAAATATCGAGGTTTTGTATTTTCTTTGAATGGCATTATAAATAAACATTCACAAAAAACGTTCATCAAATTTTTCAAATCTAAAATCTGCAGTATATATTTTTCGAAATGGAGATTTTACGATGGAAAAGCTGAAAATAACACCACTCTGAAAAATTATGTTTTTAAGATTTCATATTTGAATTAGGCAATAATTTATAATCATCTAGTAAAGCAACAACTTTGTAAAATGAAACTTTAGTTATGTCGGATATAAAGTGTAAAAACATCCCAAGCGAGCGATTCTTTATATAAAAAAATCAAGTGACTGTTTTCAGGTTAAAGTATTAGCTTTAACATGGGATTATAGTCATATGATTTCTCTTTACGTAAAGAATTATCTGAAATGTTTTTGCACTCTAATAAAAATCAACTATTATTAACAACATATTGTGTACTATTAATTATTTTTCGATTTATTAGTATTTGAGAACATTATGGATATGGATTTCAATCACAATTTTTTGAAAAATTAAGTATAAATGAAACAAATATTGAATGGAATAAGCACGTTAAGTAGCTGATTATGATAGTGAGTTCTAAAAAATAAAGATAAATAAAAATAAATAAATTATTACTATACCAATATTATATAAATTACTATAAAATTTTTTTGTGTCTTTTTTATGGAATTGCATATTTAAAGGTTCGTAAAGAATAGTTTAGTTATTAAAAAGGAAAAAAAAGCTAAACACACAATATCTCCCCCCATACATAAAACAATATTTTTCAATAATTCATATATTTTTGTCGTTGGAGTGTAAAAATAGCGTGTAATCAAATAAGTGATTATTGCCGGGTTAAAGTAATTTTATATTTTATGTGCAATATTATTTGCAAAGCATACGCTTCAATAAACCAATTTGCAAATTGTGCGTGTATATCTTTTAGAAATTTAAATACTTTTCAATGGTTACAATAAAGATTTGTGCCGAAACATATCGTCGGACTAGCGTATATTGATCTGGCTCACATTCGGTGGAACAAACGGTAGACGGGGGGAATGATTTTATCAACGTCGAATCAAATGCATTCGCTCGCATTGACGCACGTCCACTAAATCAAATAATCCGTGTCTACATATATCATGCGCATCGGACTTAAACCTGCACGGATACGAATCAACTACATTGCAGTCTTTTGCAGTAATTTTGAAAATTTGCTGCTGAAACATTACGGTGTTATCGAAATATTAATCATTAAAAAATAAAACGAATGCATAGTCATTTGTGAGATTAAATGCTGATCGTATATATATTGAACTAATTTATTTATGCCTCGTAACTAGAAAATAATTTGCGAGAATACCTCAATTAACTAGCAAATAAGAAGATAAATAATTTAATACAGTACACTGAAAAAAAAATCGATATATTCATAAGCGAACTAAAATGTTACATGTGACGTTTTCCTCGACACTTATTGGTTATAAAAAAATTTCACTATGATGACAAAATGTATATTTCTGTAACATATATCTCATTAATTGTAAAAAATGAAACAGATGATTTGCTATGAACAAAATTTTATTTCGCTTTATATTTAAATAAGAATTTATTTCAGTGAAATAAAAACGTTATATCCCACAAATAAAGTTCTAAGTATCTTCCTCAGTGTATCTATTAAAAGTATGAAATCGTTTGTTTAAAGTTCTAAATTCAGAAGTCCGATTTTCAATGACCAATTTAAACACATCGATATTCACGACATTCGTAATAAATATTCAGCAAGGTACGCAATCGCAGAAATTACTGAACGTTGTTGCATGATACGTTATATGGTTTTTCTTTAACAACCGTCTGCAAGCGGCCCGGAAAAGTTTCTTTTTGTTTCACCCTTTCACGGGACCACTGCGGCGCGTAGGTAGGAGGACGCGAAGGGACGAGAGGTCGGACCGAGTTAGGGAAAGGTAATGCTCGACGGTGACGAGGCTGCAACCGACACGGCAGTCTCGCAGTTTCGAAACAGCTCTCCAATTTTAATGAGACCCGTCTATTTCCCCGCGATTCTGTCTCCGTGTTACGGCTTACCTTTGTGTAATTATATTTTGATTCCCCCAGCTGCGCGCCGCGTCTCTTTTCGGTTCGTCTCATTCTCTCTTCGCCTCTTACCGCCTCATGCAGCCGCGAATTTTCAGCTTGCCTCTTCGTTATTGTTATCAATTTATGCGTCTTTCCGTCGTTTTTCCCTCGTTTGCACCATCCAGAACATATGCGAGCGGTTAGTAAGCAGGCATTACGTTCATTTCCTAACGGTGCCAGAGACCATTGTTCATTCTATTGGGAGACATAGTGACCTACCCTCGATCTAGTTACCCTTCATTTCGTTCTCTTCGTGGCACGTTCGTCCCCGGATTAAATTACTGGGACTGGGGGTAAATAAGAAAAAGAAAAGAAATACCGCTCCATCTCCGTCGACGAGAATCTGTTTTGTATCTTTATTCCGATGGCCGCTCCATCGGTCGCTACTTCGGCATCCGTACTTAATTACTAGGTAGTTACGATACTTCGGTGACCTCCTGTCGTCGATATTCGAGAGGCGTCCCCATCGTTCCTGTTCTCCCTTGTCCCGCTGCCAGCGTTGCTGTACGTACTAATGAGCGCGCTGAATTGTAACTTCGAAGGCGAGTAAGGAAATAATTTAGTTGTTTCGCCACAATCACGGATATTCGCTCAATTCATATTACGATTTATTAATCGAGTTACGTATTTCGTCGCGGAAGATTACGACTAGCTTTTGTCCAGCGTGAAGTAGCGCGGTTTTCTTACGATTTACCGTGACTTTTAAAGAACAAAATGCTGGTTTTTCAATAATGAGACTTTTGGAGTTATTGTCAATTCAATGAGGATCTAACAAAATGGGTGCATTTTCTTTCAATTGCGAGCACTCTCGTTCACGAGGGAGGATTTAAAGAGACATCCTCTGCGTCCGACAAAGAGAGAGAGAGAGAGAGAGAGAGAGAGAGAGAGAGAAAGAGATTTGCCGGTATATACAGTATATCGATTCGAGTGATAACTACGAGTTTAATTCTCGCGAATGGTTTGCTCGTTTCAGCGTATTTAACAGCAGAGCGTACCAGAGGGCTCAGCTGCCGGGGTAGTTGGCACATGGGGACCATGGCACACGCCATTACAATGGCAACCAGCCCCACTACCGACCTTTCCGCAATCTCCCTTCTCTTTTCCTCTTTTTGTCTCTCTCTCTCTCTCTCTCTCTCTCTCTCTCTTCTCTCCATTTCTCTTCCTCCCTCGTTCTCTCAACGCGAGGTGCACGAGGGCTGTCCGTTCGTCTGTCGGTCTCCCCCGTCGCGTGCAC